GTCTGTGGGCTGCTCCTGGGGTAACATCCATTAGTTCACAGCTGATCCATACAATGAACACATTGCTGTGGCCACTGTGGGAATTCAGAAGAGCTACGTGATTGAAACTGGGGGTTTGGCCATCTCAGTTTCATACTCTCAGCATGTCCATATTCAGTTCCAGTGTGTGGAGCACAGTGCTCAGTGGAAGTCATAGAGTGCTATGGAAATATTTAAGATGAGACACCAAGAGCCTAACAGATAGAAATATTTTGTGCTACAAATACTCTGAATTTTTAAGGCAGCTTCTCTTTTGCCTGTCTAGTTTCACCTTCTCTCTTCTGTTAAAGGCCTTTTGGCATTTGTGCTGGTCCTCTGAATCTAACTATTTTGCCTCTCTTCCAGTATGTTACCCAACTCTGTTGTTCCTTCCAGTATTTGGCATTTGCTTTGGAATTATGTTTGTCCATCTGTTATTTGTCCTTTTGGTGATGCGTTCTGCTGATTCCCATTTGTTCCTCTCAGCTTCGTCAACAATTTGGGCTTCTGAAGTGTTGTGGCATCAGTCAGCTCTATCTTGGCCCAGGACAGTGTTTGTACAGAACAAGAGAAAGAGCAAAAACTGGCCTAGACTGATGTTTCTGTTTCTTTAGGAATTCACAGGCACAACTTTTTGCAGTGGTCATTCCCACTAGCTGATTTCACTGGTTCAAGGAACATGTAGTAAAAGGGGCTTTATCCTCTTTTGGTTTCTGTTTTACTCTTTCCATCTTTCTGGATGTTTGTAACCAGTGTAAAACCATAAAAGAGGTAAAAATGTCAGCAGATACTCTTCCAGCCTTGACTGTGCTTATACTTTTGTCTTGCGTATTCCTTCATCTTTGGGAACACATCCACCTCCTGTAACTATCCACAAAATTTAATGGCCTTTTATGGTTTAGGGAGAACAGAAACTGCACCTATTCATACTTTTTTCCCCAGTTATATCTTTTTTATCCCTTATAATAAACCACAATCACACTATCCTCTGCATGCAGTTGTTGGATAAGATCTTTACTTGTCATGACCTAATTTTTCAGACTTAGACCATTTTGTAGACAGAGTTCCAAATCTGTCAGTTCACAAGTTGCCTGTTCACAACAGTGTGGGATGACTAAAGGGATGCTCAGCTATTGATCAGTTACATGGATATTGTTTTCTCCCCCACCATGGCTCTGAAAGCTTATTTTAAGTCACATTAGCATCAGACTTATGCATTATACTGGATTTGCAGAATTTTACTTGGAGTCAGGCACTAGGTAGGACCAGGTCTCTTTTTATACATTTGTTTTGGATTTAGACTCGTCCAGTAAAGCAGTCTTACTAGAAAACCAGGATTCTTACAAAAATAAATCTGCCTCCTGGAAAAACCTGAATTTTTCAAAGTGAGGATTTCTTTTGTATGAGTGGCCCTTAGAGATATCTGAGGGGTGTAAATGAATGAAGGATACTTACACCAGTTTATTTTCAGCATTTAAAGGAGACATTTGTTAATCTGTTTGCTTAGGTGCACTGAATTAATGTAATTTTTCTTTCACTGAAAGCCATGTGAATTTTGCCAATAACAATAAGCTACAGGCATTCAACAGCACTTCTCAGAGTACTCCTGTCTTTGAAAGGAAGGAACTTCCCTTTCTTCCTTCTCCTTTCCTCCCCACCCCCAGCCAAAATTTTCCTAAACCCTAAATGAAACAGGTTTGATTACATAAATACTTGGTATTAAGAATAATTTATGTTTAATTTTATAAAAAATGTTTATGATGTGGGTAGGATACTTATTTTGATCAAATCAAAACCAGGAAGCCCCAATTAATAAGGAAACCCTGAGAAAGCACCCATGGTATGCACAAGCTCACAGGGATTTGGAGGTAAGAGCTTTGCACAAGCAGACTGCTTCAAGTACAGAAAACCCTCCTGCTCCCGAGCATCCAAACCAACCCTGGGTAACACAGAACAAACAAACCTATATGGCTACAGGGGGACTAGCCCAGCATCTTTGGATTCCTTTGCAAAAATCGACACAATCAGCTAGATCTCATCCATGTGAGCCAGTCTGTGCTTGGGCTCTAGCAAAGGCAGGCAGAGAACGCATGGAGTGCTTTGGGGCCATCTTGCTGGCCAAGTGGGCCAGAAAAGGGAGTAGCATCACATTAACATCAGCATTTTTAAATAACTGGCATGAACACAACAGAAGAGATGAAAAGGAGTAAAAACTACTACCAGCACTGCAGATCATCACCTTCTGATTGAAATCACTAATTAATTGTTACCCTTTAATATTTTGATTCTAGTCTAAAACCACAAAATGTGTGCTCACAAAACACCCTTGGACACTTAAGACATGGACAAACATAAGTGCTAGGTAACACATTTACAATTGCAAGAAAAAGGTGTGAATAGTGTAATAATGGCAAATGCAAGCAGTTAATTACAGTTTCAGTGTTGATCACAGAAGTTCTTTTGGAAACAAAGTTAATGTAGATACTTGCAAAGGAAAGGCCAGATATAACTGAACAAGTGACCATTCAGTCTAACATGGTCAGCAGTCATTAAAGTGCATCTAATACTTATTCTTGTACTACATTAGTCCAAAAGTTGCCATCACAATGTGAGATGTCGGCTTATGAAAGTACTGATCAGCTGATACATGCAAATATCATTATTACACACACTGCAACATACAAGGAGAGCCACTTTGTCTCTTTAGATGCTACTCCTGTGAGATATACAAATGTTATAATTTTTTCTCTGCATGAGGCTGCTTACCTTACATCATCATATTACATGATTTTACACTTTTAAAATAATTAAAACGTTCCAGTTGCAGCCATGTCACATTTAAACAGCAGCAGCTATGGGAGGATTACAGTCACAGCCTCCCATACTGCATGCAGGCTAAATTCAAAGGCTTGCTGCCTGTAAGCTAGTTAGAAGCATTGAAGAAGTGGAATTTAACTTTGCTGGTCGGAAAAAGAGAAAAAAAAAACAGGAATCTCCACAGACTACTAGCCCTGTACAGTACACATTGTTTGTCAAAAGAGAGAATGGCAATTCTGCATTATAAACAAGAGCACATTGCTCTCTTCTTATTCCTGAGAGCTACAATTAAAGGATGCAAGTCATAAACCAGTGTATTATATGATGCATTGTTTTTAATCTTGCTGCCTTGTTGTATATAACAGGTTCATATAATTCTTCAGACAGGAAAAGGCTTGTTCTGTAAAAATACAGAGCTCTGCATCTGAAATATAAGTTCACACACAAGCAATGTATATATTGCCAAACCAGCAAACTAACTCACTTACTTAATACACTAAACTTCAGCTTCTTTCTATATTATGTGAAATGGCTTGAAACAGGAGGCAGCTGCCAGGAAACATCACTGCTTCTTTACTCAAGAGAGACAAGGGAAGGAAGAATGAAGAAAAAAAATTCCCTCGATGGATGCCACAATAGCATGTCTTTCATTATCGCCCCGTGTCAAGGCACTGTGTAATGTTCATTGTGCATGCATAGTAAATTACTATTTACCTGCCAGTGCCTTTGATAAGTCAGTCTTTTCTCCCTCTTTTCGTCCACACAGCATGGAACAGTGAAACCTCTTTGCCTATAATTCTTATTAAGGTGATACCTTTTCTGAATAAGAAAGTACACACTTCCAAAGGAGGCATTCTCTTGGGTTTTTAAGGGCCATTGTTTTTATTGTTTTCCTTTTATTTCTCCCACCCTGCTGTGTTTTAATGCTATAGTGACTTCTGTGTATACAACTCTCATATTGAAATGTCTGCCGCAGATATATGCAATATTAAAGAGTGCTTATGAATTTTTGACATCTAATTAGTCGCTACCCAGTTAACATGTCAAGACTCAGAGGGATTAGGGAGTCAGCCCTTTCTGAATAAGTTAAAGCTATGCCCTGTCCTTTTCATGTATTATTCTTTAATGTAGGTGGTGATTATTTTGCTGTGATTAATTGATGAAGCTCATTGGTCTGGCAAGTGTTACAGAATTCACCATTCCTCACTTTTATTTCTCTCTGTAGGGCTTTCCCGCTTATTTGAAAGGAATTGGTTCTATTCGGTCTGTGAAGCTTCATTGTCTTTTCTCAATACATGCACATTGGTTTCTCTTAAGATTTTATCTATTTAATTTTATATCTTTTCTACTATAAAGGAAGCAGATAATTAATAATGCTTGTTTTGTTTTAAGTCACATGTTTCAAACAGGGTTTCTCTAATATGTAGTTTATTTTTATTTTGGATTTATATTTTTAGAGAAAATTTCTGACATGTATTTTAAGTATAAAAATAGATTCTTTTTTTTTTCCCAATTTCCCCCACATTCAGCAAGGCTTGGTGAATTTTGAGGTTTTCTGGTCCCCAATTAGAAGCAATATTTCACTCAGGCAAATTTTAATTTTTTTTTAGCATTTTGAGTGGGTTTTTTTCTTCGAGATGATATAATATTCCCTGTTGTCAGTTATGGTGAGTTATATCAATTTTAGCATCCAAATAGAAGCCTTAATTATACAACCTCTGTTTTCCATGTGCACGCCTTTCACAAAAGGAACAAAAAAAAAAAGGAAAAAAGGGAATGTTGAGGCAAATCTTTAAACACCTGTAGAAATCTAAGTGATGCATATTTAAAACAATGTGATCACTCATAAATTCAGCTGTGTGTCAAGGTTCCTGGTGACCTGTGGTGCACTCCAAAGGAATGTTCCGTTGATTATATACAGCTGCGGATGCTCAGAAAGAAACAGCACATATGTGTGCTTCATGGTCTGATATATTTGTTGTATCCCCCTCTGTGTAAGTGATATTGAGTTCTATATAAAGAAACAATAAAAACGTATGCTGAGCACTAATGGCTGTGCCGTTTGCCTACACAAGCACCACGCCACCAGTATTTAACTCACTGCTTTGTAAAAGCACTGGAAGATCTACCGTAGCTATAAAAGGCAAAGCAAAAACATGCACATATACATGCACAAAGTTTTTGTTGTTTTTATTTATTTTTCTTTTTCTAAAATACAGTGAAGGAACATCCTGCTGTATTACATTGGTTTTTGTTCACCATTTCACTGTAGTTGGCTCAAGAGTTTTGGGCCTTGTAAAAGTGCAATGCAGTCGGGCAGTTTCCCTGAAACGATAAAATCAGAAAAAAAAATTTTGAACACAGTGCAAGAAGCAAACATATAGACATGATTATGGAAATATTTAATCATGCACTGTGGCTACTGAGAAGTTTCTTCCATTCCCTACCTCTTCACTGCAAAGGAGCTGAACAAAAGGCTTGCCATCTGAGTTCATTTCTGCAGCCTCCTGGTTTTATGGATAAATAATTACTTTTCACAGAGCAGAATCAATCCCATTATGAACCTCCCATATTCAAATCTGTATTTGGGACAATAGTGGAGCTCCAGCCAGTTTATATTCTTTAGAAATGAACAAAATCATGCACACTCTCCTGAAAATTTGATCATTATAAATAATTACAATCCTATTTACCAGTCAGGGTTTGTGCTTTTTAATTTACATTGGGGAGACTCTTTCTAAGGTATTTTTTGGGTGAAAATACGTAAATAATTTTTTCTTATCAGGCTTTAAAGAAAATTGCAGTGTGCAAGGAAAGAGGGAAGCGAAGGGGACCGGAAGGTTTTAGCAAGGTGCTTCTCCTAACCCCTCACCTGGGTTTTGAGGTTATTGTGAACAAGCTGAAAAGAAGAGTCACAGCAGTCTCACACACCCCCAAACCACAAATGCCTTAGGAACAAAACTGACATCAACCCTGCAACAGAAAAGAGAGCCATGAGGCAACAAGGAAGGGAAACAAAACTGAGCGGGGTGGGTGGGTCGACTTAAGGGGCTGTGAGTATAAAGAAGGAAGAGGGGGCAGCATTAAAAGAAATATCAATCAATTGGAGCATATTCACTTTCCCCTGCACAGTAGATTCTATCAGAAGAAAACACTGAACTTTGTAGTGTTAGCAGCAGCTGAAATTTAGAATTATTGTTTCCTCCTAACAGAAGACTCATTTTCCACGGCCGCATTTGCAGCATAATAAGCTTTTTGTTATTTTTTCAATTAGAGTCAATTGACCTAACAAAATGGTTGGCAATTAAGTGATTTTTGTAATGGTCCGGGGGTAATTTAGTCGAGCTTGTCAGCTGTGTTTCATGAAGCCGAGATGTCTTTTTTTCCCACTGCCTCTCTCTCTCCCTCTCCCTCTCTCTCACTTACTCCCTCTCTCTCTCAAGCATAATGGCTCATAATTTCAAAATCTTTTCCTTCTGTTTCCCTCACAATAATTCGCAATTACAGGAAGTTGTTGGAGGTGATTTTTTCCTACCTTGCTTTTTGAGTCAGTAATTTTAAATAAAATGTACATACTTGTAAAAAGGGGGCTATTACAGAAATCACTTTTTGTGTAAACTCAATTATTTTATGAATAGTGACACCAGTTTCTGCTGGGTTCAGCTCCTAAAGGCTGATGTATTATTATTTTCAGGGTAAAAGGTGTTGAACATTTAGAGCACTTTTTCAAATCAAACCAGTATTCAGGAAGGTAAACAACAACTTAAACGATGAGGAGCCTTGTAGTAAAGCTGACAGGTATATGAGAAGAATGAAAGCCATTAGGACATTTATACAATAGTCTGCAGCTACTGGACTTTTTCTCCTGTTATGATTTAGGAAGAAATTCCTCATTTGTCTAATTGATTCATTTTCTTAAGACAACATCTGGAGCTGCAATTCATATTAAAGTGCTGTTGTTAGATCTGATGACTACATCAGATGTTCTTTCATTTGTATTCTTTTTATTATCTGTTTTTGCACCGCACACTCACACACAGGCTGAAAACTGAAGCCACGCACCCGTCCACCAATGAATCCGGAGACTTCGTAGCATCTGCCTGCAAACAACTGTCTTCTAGTTTTTTGATTTTTAAGTCCTTTTTCCTAATTCCCAGCCACGCTCTACATTTCCCCTGTGTCTCGAGCCTCCCTCCCAGCCCGCGGATGCGAGGGATGCGAGGGATGCGCAGCTGCCCGCAGCGCCGAGCGCGGCTGCGGCCGCGGCAGCGGGCAGGAGGGGGCGCTGCTGCAGCGGAGCAGGCGGCGCCTCGCCCCTGCCCCTGCCCCTGCCCCTGCCCTTGCCCTTGTCCGTGCCCTGTCCTTGTCCTGCCCCTGTGCCTGTCCGTGCCCCTGCCCCTGTCCTTGTCCGTGCCCCTGCCCTTGTCCGTGCCCTGTCCTTGTCCTGCCCCTGTGCCTGTCCGTGCCCCTGCCCCTGTCCTTGTCCGTGCCCCTGCCCTTGTCCGTGCCCCTGTCCTTGTCCCTGTCCTTGTCCGTGCCCCTGCCCTTGTCCGTGCCCCTGCCCTTGTCCGTGCCCCTGCCCCTGTGCCTGTCCGTGCCCTGTCCTTGTCCGTGCCCCTGCCCCTGCCCTTGTCCGTGCCCCTGTGCCTGTCCGTGCCCCTGTGCCTGTCCTTGTCCGTGCCCCTGTGCCTGTCCGTGCCCCTCTCCGTGCCCCTGCCCCTGTCCTTGTCCTTGCCCCTGTCCTTGTCCCTGCCACTGTGCCTGTCCGTTGCCCTGCCCCTGTCCTTGTCCCTGCCCTTGTCCGTGCCCCTGCCCTTGTCCGTGCCCCTGCCCTTGTCCGTGTCCCTGCCCTTGTCCCTGCCCTTGTCCCTGCTCCTGCCCCAGCTCCTGCCCCTGCTCTTCTCCCTGCCCCAGCCCGTCTGCCCCCTTGCCCAGCCCCTGTCCCGATCTGACAGGACCCTGCTCTCACTCTGCCCCCTCCCCTCGTTCTCTTCCCCGTCCTCTGCCCCTGCCTGCTCACCTGCCCACGTCCCCCCAGCACTCCTGGCTCCCTGACTCCTCCTGACCCACACCCGCCTGGCCATGACCCTGTGTCCCTGTGACCCTTCCCATCACAAGTTTACACCGGAAAAACCTGTCGGGCAGGGCTCAGAGGTCCCTGGTGCAGCTGCTTTAGCCCCATGCTGGTTTCCAGGGTAGGGCAGTTGACACCGGGCTCGGGGATGTGTCACCTTCTGGTAGAAAAGCCTCTGCACTGAATGCTACCAGCAGGGTTTGCAAATGAGAACAGAAGGATGCTGCTTTTTTAGGGGGGCTTTATTATTTTGTTTTGTTTGGGGCTTTTTGTTTGGTTGCTTTGTTTGGTTGTTTTTTCTTTTCCTCCAGTGTTGTAATTTTTTGTTGGAAGCTGAATTTTATTTAGTATCTTAATTTGCCTTGTCTCACAATCCTGGAGTCTTGAATCACATTTTAAGCCAAAATCTGTGGGCCAAATTCTGAGAGGCATTTTTACCTTCCTTTTTCTTTTGCCTTTCCTGCATCCAGCATTTCTTGGAACTGGGTTGTAGAATACTGGTCTTCCATCTTGCCTACTGGGACAGTAAGATCTGTGTGCATTATCCTCAGTAAATATTACTTTTACATTTGGATATCTGCTCATTTCCCTTATGACCCCTGACAGTCTTCTCCCAGGGTTTGATTATAAGTCACTATAGTCTGGACTGTACTGGAGTCTCGTAAGGCTTCGATTAATCCGCCGCACCTAAGCATTGCTGTGACTATAAAAGGAAAAGTTATGATTCTGAATAAGCATCGTGCAGAAGAAAGAAGCAAAAGCATAAAGTATTAAACTTTCATCCAGCACCATAGGAGAGATGTAGTTATTAAATTTCAGCTGCTTATCAAACTGATATGAAAGTCATTTTGCATGATTGCTTTGCATCCTCGAATCTTCTGCTTTTATTTGCAGTGCATCTCTGCGCTTTCTTATTAGAAAAATACTCAAAGGATAAAAAAGCTGATAATATTATTCAGTTTTGACAATTAGGTAGAAAAAACATTTTAAGAAGTGCTTTTTTTATTGCAGCTAGTAATAATAGTGGTGGTCCTCCTGGTAGCAGTCTCTTCTGATGCTACCCAGGGTGATGCTAGCTTTACCCTATAATGGCCAAAGCCCTGATGGTTATACTGGTAAAGCTGCTAAGAAGTGTGAGTCAGGATGTCATTCTCAATATCACAAACAATGTACACAGACACAGATTATTTTGTCTTCAGAGATATACAGTTTATGGTTTTTTCTCTCCCTCCTTCCTGTTTCAAGATTCACAAGTGGACTGGGGCTAGTGCCTGTGATGAGTGGGGAAAGATGACCAGTCCTGGACTTGCCTGCAGCTGCTGTCCATTCCCTCAGGATCACTGTCGTGTCAGCCACTTCAGCAAACCTATCTCTGTCTATTTATAATCAATCTTCCATATAATTCAGCTGCCCGGCAACTGCCTTTAATTATTACATCCCCACATTGTGGTTCCCTTTCAGTTCAGCTTAATCTGCTCCTTATGTCTTGCGTGTGAATTTATGCAAAGCTATAAGCATTCATGGGAATGTGGAGCCCTTAGAAGATGAGAGCAAATCATCCCAGCTCCCACAACTCTCCCTTTCCCCACCATGGGTTTCCCAACTTGATGCTTGGTTGTTTTGTTTTCCAGTGTTCCAATAATTTCTTCAGTATTCTCTCTGCCTTCCCACTTTCTGTCAATGCTTCCCCATCTCCTGCTGGGTTTTACTCGTCTATGATTTAATTCAGTCTCAGCAACTGTCACAGAGCTGATGGCTCCCTAGCATTTATCTCTTTATCTTTGGTTGCTGCCTTCTGTCCAGTCCTTTCATCTCAGACTATCCACCCATATCAGTGTCCAGATGTCTGGTCATAAGCACAGGACAGCAAAAATGTGACCTCTTGAGCCATTGTTTGGCCACAATTGTACAGAATTATTTCTCTGTGGCACAATGCTGGAGACTATTAGCACCATACCTGCTCTTCACAGTTTCTCTTCCAGATTTAATTTCTACAAATCAAGTCTCTGTTTTTCCAGCCTTTACAAAATGTATCTCTGTTATATTAAAAGACCCCCTTAGATCTTGCTGTCTAGATTTGAGTTGTCATCCCCAGGCTATGAAAACTTTTTCCCCAGGCTATGAAAACTGATTTTTTTTTTACCTCTCCAGACAGCAATTTGCCCCCTGTGCAAGACAACTCAGAAGAGCAGTCTTATATACTTCTAGATGCTGAAAAGATCTGGAAAGGTCAAGTTTTCCTCCCTGGGAGAGGAATTCCAGTGACTATCCTCGTGTAATGCATGTCTTTGAATTAGCATTTAATCTGTCCTGAATTCAGGGTGAGGTTGCTCAGATTTTGTGGCTCAGTGGGTAATTTTCTTTGACCCCTTAGTGACAACAATTATTTTCCCTGGTACTCAGCCACCCATCAAAACCTTGGTCCTCAGAGCAGAGGTGGTTCTTACTTGTTATTTGGGAACAATGCAGTTGTCCCAAAGAGGTGCAGAAACTGGAGGGATTTGGGCTGGGAAAAGGGATGAATTATAGGAAATACTTCAGCAGAAGAGAGCGAGAGTCACAGTATTAGGAAAAATATCCTGACAGTGAGATGTGCTAAGCTGAGTGGGGGAAGGACAATGTCTCCTTTGTAGGATTCATCATCAGAATATATTTATTACTGTGTTGTCCAAAGTACTTTACAGATTCTAAGATATGATTGTATCTTACACCTTGGCATGGAACAGAACAGATGTCCTTATAAAGGACAATTTAATCAAGGAAAAATAACAATTAGGCAGGAATTTGCTAAAGGAATCAGTAACAGTTAACTCATGGTCAGCCCAAAAATGTAAAAATTATCTGGCCAAATTTGCCATGCTGACCTCTGACATCTCAAACTCTACATTTCAGTCTTACATAGTTTTTGCACCAAATACCACTTTACAGAAATAAAGTAAAAAATATCATCCTATTTCACTGTCTGTGGGCTAATATTTTCTCTCTGAAGGTAGATAACTCCATTTTCAACACAAAAATCAAAGGCAGGTCACATGTAGAAAATATATATAATGTCCTCTGCAGAGTGCTTTAACATGCCCAGCAGTATATTCCCACTTTATTCCTAGAAGAGTAAAATTACAGTGTGTAGCAGGGCTGGCACCACGCTTCCATGCCGTGCAGACATTAGAGCAGAGGGAATAATTCACAATGAATAGTTTAGTCAGTAAGTTTAGCCCTTTTTCTGCCTATGGGATCTCCATGGGCAGACTGAGGTTTCCTTGAGTTTATTATGCAAAAGAATTCAAAGAGATCCTTTTTCCTCTCTAAGTACTTCTAATTGCTCAGGAACACTTCTCTGTGAACATTCCCCAATCACTTCTTGAGCTTTGTTAGATACGACTGCTTTGATGAGTCACATGGTGTTGATTTATTTTTCCAATGTGTTGAGTGTGCACATATTCATGTGTGTGAATCTAATACCCAGTTTCCATCAATACTTATGCATGCTGTTCTGAAATTCTCAGTGAATAGCCACAATAGTAATTGAATCTACAAATGTCCCTAGAAAGCAAACACAACTATGAAGACAGTATGGGTGAGAGGAATCCATTTGCAAATTCCAGCAAATGAACAATGATTGTTAGTAATCCATTTCCAAATTCCATCAAAGGCAGGGTTTTGTTTTTTTTTTTAATAGCATTTAGCCAGCTATAGTAGAATCTGTGAAAAATATTGTCAACTCTCTGCTTTCCATTCATTTCATCCTGTGCTTCTCTCTTCTCATGAAGTAGCCGTGGGAAGGAAATAATAGCAAACTTGTCCTTCCCACAGCTGCCCCCCCTCCCCAAAAAAAAAAAAACCAAAAAAAAACCCAAAACCACCAAAAAACCCAAAGCAACAAAAAAATACACCCACAGATTTAAAGTAAATATCTTTGAGCACCAAATAGCTATCTCCTATTTTTCAAGCCCAGACTTAATACACTGCAGTTGTACCTGGGAGGTCTAGTTTGTTCAGCACCTATTGCCTCCAGGATGAGGATTCAATTAAGAAATATAAAAGATAATATGGTGCTATAGGGACAAAACTACTTTTGAAACTCTACCCAGGCTTTCTGTAAATAGAGGTATACTTCTTTGAAAGCAAACACTTCCTGTTAAAATACACCAGCTTTCTATTCTGTGATCATCCACTCCAAATTATAAAAGAAAATATATAATGGAGCATAAAAATAACAGATGAGAAAAATGCACCTTCAATGTGAAT